CTTGGTTGGTTATTGGCTAATGGTTACACAAGACAAAAAATCGTTATGACATCATAAAGTGGACAACATCTGATCAGCTCATTTTAAAAATGGATCAGGACAAAAAGAGAGGGGATCTTTTTTCCTGAAACTTTCAGAATATCTTTACACAGAGGGGACACATATTTATGTATAAAAATATGAAAAAGTGGATTTTGCATAAAAGGTGACCTTTAAATCAGTTTGTGAAATTATGGTAAACTTGTGAATTGTAAAATGGTAAGACTGTGGTTAAACTGAAAAGTATTTGGGCAAAACTGATTTAAAGCTACGTACTGTAATTTCACTTAATCAAAAGGAATCACTGGAAAATATATTTGTTCTCCTCTATCACACGGTGGAAGTAATAACTGGTAAACAGTTGTTGAACAGCCACCCGATCTAACGAGAGGCTCCACTTCACCTCTGATTGTCTGGTCTCATTATCCCTACAGTAGAAAAATGCCACACTTAACATAATTGCTTTTGTTTTTCTATGAAAACAGCTGCTTGAAAAAATGTGTTCTTTCGAGAGATGCCTTCACAACAAATGGAACAAATATATATATATTTAACATAGCTATGCCACACTTAACACTGATGGCAAGCCTGGAACAAGAACCATTTTGTAAATGTGCAAATGTGATGTAAAAATGTAAAAATCAAGTTTCCAAAAACATTGAGAAATAGCTTCTGATTTGCCTGTGCTGGTACCCACTTGCCAGTAATCCATGCATAGTAGGCCAACTTCTGATAAAGACAAAGACAAAATCAGCACCATAGGGCTGTTAAATCCGGATATACTCAGTCATAGATGGCAACGGATCCATGCATGCTGCTGAAATTGCTTCAGTTCTGCTGCAGCGGTTCATTTTCTTTTGGATTATTTATGGTCCCTGCTGACAGAAAGTGTGACGCCAGCTCAATGTCTGTTGCTGAAAGAATAAATGTGCATCATTCGACCAGACAAGCCTCCTCTTGACATCGGTTGAAAAACGGTTCTGATAAAGACAGGGTTATATTCTCTTTTTGAAATGTCATTTAATATTGATGCCTAAAAGTTTAATACACCTTGAGGCTTTTTCTAAATGGGACAGACAGAAAGTCAAAGAGCAACGTGTGGGCTTACAGGGACAAGTGATACTCTCACCGATTTTTTGTTATGTAATGTAATTATTCAGTACAGTACTCCAGTAATATGTACACGACTGCATTTATGACTGCCAACCTTGACAAACAGAAAATAACCTGACAGTAGTTTACATGAATAGAGCAAACATACTATACAAATGTTCAGCAGACCTGAATCTCTAATGCATCTCCTGTATGAAATGTTTTAATGACCATTATGCAAATGCTGAGTCGCGCTTGACAAAAGGCAATCAGGATTTTGGATTACTGAGGCGACTGGACTCTCTGTCTAAAGTTAGAGAAATACTGCCAAGCTCATGTTTCTTTGTCCCAAAACATTTAAAGCCCATCTCTCTTTCTGGGTCTACTGATGGATTACCAGAACCAGACAGAACATACTCAGCCTGACCTATGATTGAACCTCAGTACTGTTAATGCATGTGTATTACAGTACACTGTGAACTCTACGCAAACTCCTGCATCAAAAGGGTTTTATTATGCTTTTTTTCAGGAGCATAATAGACATCTTCTAGCCAATCAGACTCCATACATTTTTTACATATCAACGTCGAGGAGCAGTTCATTGTGCAAGGTACTGTACAGCTAATCCTGTATTGCTTTCTTCCTCGTCTCCAAGGTCAAAAGGTTCTGTTGAAAGTGGAAATGAGAAACTGGTTTATGAACAGGGGCAATTTACTGCTGTACGTCAGTAAGGTTTGTCCTCTCAGCAGGAGATCAGCTGTCCCAGAAAGGTGGAAGCATCTCGAATCAGGAATTGTGCGCCATGACATGAATCAATAAGCCATTGTTCTTCGCTCTACTGGCTTCCCCTTGTTTAACAACAGACAAGATGGACCATCAATGGCCAAAAACGATCCCCTCTCCCTTCTTACGTCATTCCAGAGGGTTAGGTAGGTTTACTCTTATGGTGTCAGAAATCCCACAATTGTTAAATAACAGCTTGGCATGACTTACAGACACAGGGCATGTTGCCAAATCTCTTCTCCACTGGGACTGAGGTTTTGGCCCAAGCTCCTCACAGGAAGAGCTGTTCACTATTCAATTACCACAGGAGAAGGGGGTCAACATTGCAGGTTGCTTGGATGTCTTTGAGTGGATATATCTACTTGACAAGATGAAGCTGTTTCAAACAAAAGTAAGTACATCCTAGTAGAAGCAGCTGAAAGTCTTGCTGTGCTCTGATGTCTTTAGTGTAGTTCATTTGGACCTGATCAAGGACAAAAATGCATTGTCGCCATTTTGTTCTGGTCCACTTTGTGTCCATTGTGGTTTGTTCTGGTCCACTTTGTGTCCATTGTGGTTTATCCATAGGGGTATGTCTCATATGCATTGACAGGCGAGTCTTTCATTGGAAAGTTCTAAGGATTGTTATCCTGCCTCAACAACACTTGATGGACCCCTGTAGGGAAATACATTTTTTAACAGACTGACAGCTTGTCAAGCAGGACCATACATAATGTGTTTAATTCTGTTTTCTGTAGTGAAAGTAGCCTTAGATTATGCATCTAGAGTCGGTTCTCAGGGCTTTGAAGAAGGCCACATAAGATCCTCTGGAGTTGCTATTAGTCAAGACTCCTACCTTCTGACGCTCCTACCAAGAGGCTGAAAGAATGGAGGCTGTTTCCGTCAATCAGCACTTGGAAGTTCTCGCTTGAAGGCGTATTAATAATTCAGTGGATGGGTATAAGTTGTCCCACAGATAAAACGACTCCTACAGTACCATTTTCATTCGACTTTGCATCTCAAGCGCTGGCATGAGTGTTTCCTCTTCCCTACAGGATCTTGTAGGGCTGGCAAGCTCTAAGCATCTGTTGCCTTGGCTTGAAGCAGCAGTTCTTGCATCTGGCATTACATGCTGGCTTATTGTGTGCATAATGTACAAATGTAAATATTTCATTGGCATTGAAAAAGCAGCCCTGGAGTTTTCTTCATTCATTAGATTGTTCATTTTTGTTTAGGAGGAGTTATACTGCTACCAGTGTAGTTTAACCCATCAGTAGAACATTTTTTTTTCAGTTTCTTGATTGCTTGATGTTACACTTAATTAGTTTTTGTATGATCGTTTAAAGCCCCTGTGAGGAGTTACACAATTACTGAAAGTAATTGGTTGGTAATCACAAGGTTAAGCGACATGCACCTGCCTCAACTCTTCGCAGATGTTTGGAAGCTAATACCATAATATCTTCAAGGGAAAATGAAAAAATACCATTTCTTATTTGTTGCCAATTATATTTTCTATCTAGCCATACATTCTTTTAGTTTTTCTTGTTTAGGTGTAACACATGGACAAGCTATTACAGTACCAAAAATAATAGAAACGGAACCATTTCTATTTTAAATACATCATAAATAATGACGTTTGGGTCATGTTTTAAATCTACACATTGTTATTTATGGGTTTATACAACTTTTATTTCACACAATCTGTATCCAAGCTTACAGGGTTAAACCTGACATGTATACACTCTTTGTGTAAAGGTATTTTCTCTATGTTAGCTGCAGAGGTTAGAAGATAGTAATTCCTTGTCGAACTAAATAAGAGAAAGAGCGAGTGCGTGTTTCTTTTGGGAATTTAGCAGAGAAAGATAGATATGATGATAATGTTGCTAGGAGACCTTGACATCAGCTATTTATCCCGAAATCATGCTGTAGCCCACGTGCTGACAGTGTGTGTGTGTGTGTGTGTGTGTGTGTGTGTGTGTGTGTGTGTGTGTGTGTGTGTGTGTGTGTGTGTGTGTGTGTGTGTGTGCGCGCGCTTCCTCTCCCCACTGCATCTGTGTGTCCTTGCTCCTGCTCGTACTATAAAGCCGTCAGCATCTCCTTCTCTCTCCGCTGGAGTCGAGGCTGTATTACAGTCGACTCAGCTGTGCCTGGAGAATTAACAATGGCTCGAGATCTTTCCTTTTCTTTTATCACAGACGGATTTTCCCGGCCATACTTTTGTCAAGGTTATAGAGCAAGTATCAACTCCTACACAACCCGTGTCTTCTTTCTTTGATTCAAGTGACTCTTGAATGAAAGGTTAAGACAGAATAAAAAAAATGCTTGAACCTCACCACAAAGACGAACAGCGGTGGAACAAATTACGCTGAAAACGAACTAATGGAAGCAAGTGGATTGATCATTGTTGTTTTTGCATTTGAGGACTGAGCTCAGAGAAGACATCTGTCTGCCTCTCAGCTTACACTCTGCACCTCGATAACAAATCCCTGGAGCTGCAAGTGAGCAACACAGCATGCTGTAAAGCTCCGAGCAGCGATATGGTGGCGTCAGAAGGACAGTTTTTTTCATCCTACCCGATGTGAAGAAAAGAATAATTTCTCCTCTCTCGTCCACTTTCTATTATTCTGTCCGTTATGTTCCTGCTTCTAGCTGCACTGGAATGACCATTTATCTGCAACTTGAAGGGTCTTTTTCCAATCTTGTCTGTTCCCATTTCGCCTCTGTCTCCTCCATACTTTTGCCTTTCCATTCACAAAGCAAGCTTCTTCTCTTTTTTAACACCTAACTGCTTTCTTTTCTTTTCTTACCATATTCAGTTTTTCTTCAGACACACTCACATCCTAACACATTCTCCATCCTTGGCTTTTCCTACTTTGCACCTTGCACTTTCTTCTACTCTCCTCTCATGCATCTCCCTTGCCGGATTTTTTTCTTTTTGAATCTCCATTGTTCTCTCTTTTATTCTCTCTTTTATCAAACCTGAGGTCAGCAAGGACTCATTAACTGACCAAATACTAGTTCTCTCCCCTAATTGACACATTTTCTCGAATCGCTGTCGTCCGTGCTTTTTCTCTTTCCGTCCCAATTATCCCTCCCGTCCTGTCACAATGTACTCCTCCAAGGAGCTCTCAAACTCCACTGAGCAGGTCTGGATCAATGGCTCCGAAGCAAACTTCTCTCTGCAGAGACGTGGCGACGAGGACGAGGACGAGGACGGAGATCAGCACCCTTTCCTCACAGATGCCTGGCTGGTCCCCCTCTTCTTCTCCCTCATCATGCTGGTCGGGCTGGTGGGAAACTCTCTGGTTATTTATGTCATATCAAAACACAGACAGATGAGGACGGCGACCAACTTCTACATAGGTGAGGAAAACTAGATTCAAGCAGAGATTTCAGTGGGCTAGGATGATGACCTTATCATAAACTCCCAGTGCATCAATATCAAAAATATCCTTTAGTTATTTAGTACTGGTCCCTATTTCTTTCATCTATCCAGAAACGCTTCTTTGCATGCCAATAGCGAGTTCAAAAGAATTCCAAGGGTTCACGGCCGATGCTTTCTGTTTGCCTAGTAGACAGCTAAGCATACAAATGTTAATTACAGGTTTCCTTTTTGCCATTAGAGGGAAAGACAGGTGTCCAGATGTTTCCTGAATTAAAAAATCTAAAGCGATGAAAGAGATATCTGTGTTTTTGAAGTCTCAATGCATTCAATTTGGAAAGTCTGATTCGAATGAAAATGTAAACAATTGTTTAACGCTCAAGAGCTCAGGGCTTAAAATGTGTTTTGCTTGTTTGTGCTTATTCGCAGAGACTTCACATCCCTGCAGAAAATACATTTGATTTCATGATGCAGTAGGCAATGAAAATGTTAAAAGTACAAAGAGGGGATATTGTTGATAATTCCATGCAAGTCCAGCACATATTTTAACCAAATTTGACGAAAATGTGCTTTCATTCATCATATTAATGTGCATATTAAGTTGAGTGCATTAATTGTAGCAGTTTGTGTGCCTGATTCTCCAGTCTGATCCCATCAAGTGATATAAGAACTGTGTCTGGGGGATGTCAGTAATCTCAGGTGTGCCAAGTGAAACAAGAGCAATCAAAGGAGAGCATAAATCATGCACCTTCCTCGTGTTTCCTCTGGTTTTCTGTCCACGCTGCCTTTTCTCTGAGTGATTGATTTTATTGTTTGACGTCAATTACTGCACTTCTATACCGTCACCTGTCATAGTGAAGAATTGCAAAGGGTGGTTTATTGAAGTGAGGTCCGCAGAAGATAAGAATTATAATAATCACAACGGAAAAAATAATAAAAATGCACCTATAGCATAATACATGTTCATAATTATCTGTAGTTTGTGCAATTCTTTGATTTCCTGTTGAAACCCTTTTTGTCTGTGTTTGCATTTTGCAGCGTGTACAGTATGTGACATGAATTTGATCTTATTTGAGCATTGAATCAGTTGAATATTCAGCAACATTAGATTAGTGCCTGCACCATCTGCCAACCCTCTCAACATAATGGTCCAGCTACTACTCAGCTAATAAAACAAATAGGAAGGTATGTGGGGAATTTGTCAAAATGTCAGATTAAATAGATACAAATGGAAAGCAAGATCAGACTGCAAATGAAATAACTGCCACCTCTGCTTAGTGTCCTTTCTAAATAGGGATTTATGTTTTTCAATGTGTTCATATGAAGCTGTTGGGAAGGCAATGTGGATTTAAAGGTCCCCTATTGTACTGTTTTTCATCAACATATTATAGGTCTCTGAAGTGTTTGGCTCGAAATACCAAACAGATCATTGTAGCATCCCATAATCCCCTCTGTTTCAGCCCTGTTTCAAAAGTGCTGATTCTCTGTCTGTTACTTTAGATGAAAATAAGGAGCCACTCCCCACGCCCCTCTGAGAGATATTTGGTTAGAAAGAACACAATGGTGCTCTAGGAGGAGATTCAGGTGGTAAGGTGGGGGGGGTGTTACCTTGGTTGGTTTTTGGCTAATGGTTACACAAGCCAAAAAATCGTTATGACATCACAAAGTGGCCAAAATCTGAAAGCATGGACAAACATAATCAGTTGTTTTGTATTGTTGAATCAAAACCAAGAAAACCAGAATAAATTGTTAGATAATTTAGGTTCAAAGTCAAGTAGTTTAGATATTTGACTGTTACAGTGCATATTATACCTTTAAGCTTGCACAAACTGTAAAACGGTACCCCTTTTTGTCAGGAAATTCAAAGTATACTCAATAACCTATGTGTTATTTCACTGACACAACCTTAGATAGCCTATCTGAAACTACTCCCGATATCCTGAATGTTGTTTTCTGTGTGCAGCGAACCTGGCGGCGACTGACATCATCTTCCTGGTGTGCTGCGTCCCCTTCACTGCCACCCTCTATCCTCTCCCTGGATGGATCTTTGGCAACTTCATGTGCAAATTTGTTGCCTTTCTACAGCAGGTAAAGAATGACTCATGTCTTTTTTTTCCTTACACAACCGTAATTACACTTTTCCTGGATGGGAAATGTGTTTTCACACTCACACAGTAGTGTTATATTGCAGTCTTTTGTAACATCAGATGCCCTTCACCAAGAGCAGAAAAAAGGGCACTGATTTTCTAACTCAATTATATTCTAGAAAACTCATATTTTGTAGTCCTTTTAAAATGTAAGTGTTAGTGCTAAGAACGTTTCAATTCAAAAAGAGCCATCTCTATTCAATTTTTCCTTGAAAAGAGAACAGAAAGAAAGACGTTTCATTGACACAGTACAGTTACATAAATGGATATCCAAGCAACAACCAGCAGAAAAGATGGACAGGAGAAGAAGCACCAAACAAGAGTAACAACGATTTCTACAAGATGCAGTTAACTTTTTAAGAATTATTTAGATTTTGCGAGCATTATACCCTCCTCATGGGTTGTGAGACATTGGTTTTATATTTAGAGAAGAACAGTGTGAGGCCTTGAGGTAGTGCTTTCTCCTTGTATACTGGTGACCATTGGAACTATTGGCATGGCAGCATTGTGTGACGTAACCATGTTAGACACAAACGTTTAGCATGTCAACATTGATTCTTCTCTGCATCGTCTACTCTGTGAGCCTGTGCTTCCTACAGTTTCCCAAAACACCCTTGTCTGCACATTTTTGAAGACACATTGTGTGATTTTTACGAGAAGCATAATTCCAATATTCACTGTTCTTTTACCCTGGTTCAATATCACTAACCATTAGGAAAGGTAACTAACTTTTTTACAGCAAAAACCTACAATATATTCACCAGTCAGTCGCTGACATTGTCTTTCTGCAGTTAAGTGCTAAGCAAATTGTGTACAGTGACTTTCTAGAAATAAGAAAGGTGTGATTTAACGACCACAAGTTCTATATGCAACCAACTTTAAGTTATTCTTTGCTCTGTTTATAGGAAACGATTAATTAGGACTGCAACCTGTTGACTCCATACAGCTTATTCAAAGAGGATAGCCAATTAAAGTGTGCTTAAATGCACACCGTGTGAGAAGCGGTGGGTGTACAGCTCAGACAGTAAAGGGCCACAGTACTCTGCAACATGGTAATTACACTTACCCAGGCACTATAAAATGTGGTCTACAAAAAATATGCTCAATTGCCATGTAGCTTGACAAGGCTACAAAGTCTGAAATACTGTAAGAGGGGGGTTACAAAAGACGGTCAAGTGACGCAAAAATCTAAACCAACATTGTACCCGGAAGAAAAACTTAAATATGCAACAATTAAATCAATTCAATTTATATTTTATTGGCTTAAAATTGTACGTCATTCATTCGGAAGCAAGAAAGGAGGAGGGGACAACCTGTCCTATAATCTGATTAAGACATTTTCTTTTGAAAGCAGGATGACTCGATGTTCTCTGCTGACTTGAGCATAAAAGAGTTGGAGAAGTCAATCTGACAGGCAGGCCACCGTCACTGGCAGGCGGGCAGAAAAGGTTAAAAGCAATTTTTAATTAAAAACACAGGGACGTGATTTGGTTTATTCATCTGAGCATGAAGTTTAGTACCCTGTGAGCTTCTGGTGGAACAATGACTCCTGAGGAAGACGATTGAAGCAATTGTCTGTCAAGCTGGCCTTTTGTAGCTTTTTCTGATTGTCTCTGTATTTCATGCAACTATTCTTCTGTTGCTTTTATCTACAAACCCTTCATTTTCCTTTAAAAAAAATGTTAATTTCAGAAAGACCTGCCACCAAACAATATTTCATCTGCAAAAGAGAAAGTTATAAATGTTTTCAATCATTTTAATGAGTCCAACCGCTTTTTTTGCCTTAGTTAAACACACCTGTCATAGAATTCTGGAGCGTTAACCTCAGTACCATCAAACATATCCACAGATTTGATGAAAACATTAGGTGTAGTAAACTGTGACTGCTGTGTTTTACATCCATCCTCACTCTCTGGTAAAGCAACATTACATGACAAATTACCCTACTACCTCTACTGCCGTTTAGTCAAGTTGATTCTTGCAAACCAAGGTCTTGAAAGCTTCAGGTTTTTTACGTTTCCACACATACTGGCTGGCTACATTTGAACAAAGTCAGAGAGATTGAACTAATGTGAGTTGTATATCAGTCTTTTAAATTGAACAGAGGCTACTGTTCCTTATGTCTGTTGCATATGCAAAAATATTCTATAAAAAAAAATGACAATATTAAACTAGCATATCTGTACAGCCTTGGGTGTATGATCCCCAGTTCAACTTGTTATTTAAAAAAAAAACGTCACCTTAAAAGCATGTTTCAAAACCAGGCAAGTCAGGAACAAACATTTCCAAGAGACACATGAATCTGGTATTCGTCAGATAGTCTGGAAAGGTAGGGCAAATATAAAATAGGCAGTCTGACAAAGATAGATTATAAAGTGCAAGACTAATAGATGGAAGGCTGTGAAAAAGGGATATACTGCAGGACAGGGGAGATGACAGGAGAGTTGAGGCCGTGAAAACACACCAGGAAATATATTGAAACTGGCTGAACTCATGCCACAATAGCTTACATGCCCTCAAACAGAATAATAATTTACACTGAAACTACCCTATCATTATCTGGGTTTTTTATTCAAAAGGAATTAGTGTAATAAGAAAAAGAGGGAGATACAATAATAGCACATCCATCCACTCATCGTGTTGGACATTGCCAACTGTTAATTGGTGCTTGCTAATCCGCGGACCTTTCCAGCAAACCATTACTGAAAGTGACTATAGGTGAAATAACTGTTTTCACAATAACATGCAGTAAGAGACATTTCCTAAGGTGTGACAGAGGCTGATGTAGATTGTATTTTTGGTTAAAAAACGTTGTCCTCTAGCACCAGCATAGACACCATACATTTGGAAACATTGAGGCCTCTTGAGGGGACTAATGGGGCTTCACGTGTTCAGTTGTGCAACTATATATAATGACAATCTGCTACAGAATCTAATGATGTTGGCATGCTCTTTGTTCATTGGTAAAGAATGATGCAAATAAGTTAACTGTTAACTATCATGCAGAAAAAAGTTCCTTTTTAGTCTGTTGTTCCCTCTTTTGGTGAAGCAATGTAAGCAGGTGTTACTTGAAAGAAAAAATGCAGTTTGTTGACAAGAAAAAAAATAATGCCTTCTGTGATTTAATTGATGGTAAAATCTACTTTAATCGTTTGACAAAAAACACAAACATACGCAGAAGCCTGATGCATTTGTTTCTGTTGAATGTTTATCTTTCAATGGGCACATTTATCGAAGCTTGTAATATAATTATTTTTGCGTGTGAGGAGCTACATCTGTCCTTTTCATTTTTGTTTCGCCACTTTGAAATACTATCCATCTTCATCTAATGGATCCAAAAAGGTAATATCTGCTTTTCACAACTCTTATATCTTCTTCTGGTTTAGAGAGAAGAGCTTGTGCACATAGAGCGTCTATTTTCCAAAACACCTGGTCCGAGAAAACAAGCCATAGGGGATCTTCAAATGTTTCGTGACATTCGTTTGCAGCAACACATACAGTAATGCAATGCAGACATGAAGGGAAAGAAGGGATTATGGGCTGCCTACCAGAGGTGGGAGTAAGTCCTACATGTGCAAGTCATGTGACTCGAGCCCCCACCTCTGCTGCCTACACTGGCATTAGTTTAGATAGACACAGATTAAAGTGAGCAGAGATGGACTGACCCGGCTTCTGCAAAGCTTATAGGTTTGCTTTACAAGATTTCTGACCAATAAGAAGGACATTTGCGAGTGCAATTCAGGCCCTGCTCCTTCGTACATGCCCTTCAGCAAATATATGTTTCTCTTTTGACAGCTTTTGCATTATTAAAACAAACCAGAAATAAGTGAAAAATAACCAAACCATCCATTTTACTTACTGATTCAGACGAGCCAAAGACTATGGCTTGTGAAAGCACGTCTAAATGTATTCCCTTTGTTAAGCCCATTCCACTGAACAGACACCATGTATTGAAGATAACAGGGTACAGAGTCTTTCCTAATGCACCAGGCACCTCAGCAATTGAGGGATTGCAGTACTCACTTCCTCAGTGGCCTCAACACCAAACTCATCATAACCCTTTCTGGCTCTCTCATCATATCCTTTGAAACAGTCCAAACCCATGAAGGGTGCTGGCTTCACAGTCACATATAAGAGCTGGAGAGGGAAAGAGGCACATAGACAAAGGGGGACTAAATTAGATCCTCTTTTGAAAAGAGCATAGAGAGAACTTCTGACCTCTCATTTGTCACCTCTGCTGCACATATTTCAAAGTATTTGAAGAGAGGGAATTATTTTGAAAAGAGGGTGAAAAGGAGCGTTTTCTGTCTCATTCTGGTCTTCTGAAACTCACTGTAAAATTGTGTGTGAAAGGAATACATCAATAGAGTCAGGATGCTTTCTACTTAAGGACATAATGACTTGAAGTGAAATGAAGCTTTGAGCAGAAGGATGTGCGTGGTGAATTATGTAGGAGAAGTGAGTCAAACTCTGCAAGTACAGGAACATTTCTTTGATAGCATGAATCCCACATTTAGCCTCATGTACAAATTCTTCTGATGTTTCTAAGTTGAATTAAATCAAGCATCATTAAACGCAATTAAAAACAAAAATGAAGGATGCTAATTAAAACTACTTATCACAAAGGCACCTCCCTCGCTTTTCCTGCATGCTCTCCAGTATAAAAGCACAAGAGCTTATTAGCACAAAAAAAAAAGGTGGGTTCTTCTTACAAAAGCTGCTTAAAATGATCTTTTGCTCTTTAATGAAGGATGATTAACTACAAGGCTTGATGCACAGGACACTGTTAGAAAGGTGTGTGGGCCTTTCTTCTGTTGCAAGGGTTATTTAAGAAATGTGCAATAGGCTCTCGTAGGAAACAACTTCCTCTAATGAGCACACATTTTCAAGCATGTTTACATCCCGCTAAAACTTTACTTGTTGCACTGAAAATAATCACGACATATATACTATAACAATTGCTATATTTCTACGTTTTTGTCTATGAATTCATGCACAGGATTGTCTGTTTGAAGCACTGCATTCATTTTAAGATGTTCTTTCTATAGTAGGTATCAGGAGGAGGTAAGGTCAAATTCAGACATAGGTTTAAACTGAAAATTCAATGACAGTGTGGCCACTTGTCCTGTTATTACAATTCCTTGGACTTCAAATACCAAATATATTTGACAGAGCTGGTAAAGAGCTAAAATGCGGACATATTTAAACCATTAAGACATAGGATGAAGGGACATTTAGTCAGGCAATAGTCAGGAAAAGGCTAACAAGGTCGCAACAGAATTATATTATATTAGTTCAAGAGATACATGACATGAGTTGGTAGAGAGAGGTCGAAACACAGCAGACCACAGGAAACCAAAGACAAATATTGACAATCTGGCTGGGAAGGAGAGGAAATGCGCTGGTTATATTCTGAAGGGCTGATGATGGAAAGTGGAATCAAGTGAGCAGGTAAATGAGAGATTGAGAAGGATAAGTGGGAAAGTCTGAGGGCATTTGCTGGTTATTAACGGAGGCAGAACGACAGGATTAAGGACAGATTTAATTTATTGCAAAGTGTTAGGACGATTGCAAAAACCAAGCAGCTCAAAAATATCAGATTTAAAAACAAAAAAGAAGAAGAAAAATAAAGAAATCCCATCAAGAAAAGCTTTGGAGTTTTTATTTTCATCTGGGAGATGCTGATATGAAACCATTGTTACAAAATTAGCGACAGTTCCAGTTTTATGCCAAAGCTTGACGACGTATCTGCTTCATTTAGCTGGTTTTGAATTGGGCCAATGCATGGGATCTTTTTTAAATGTATTGTAAAACAGTGGGCTAGCAAATTCACACTTGTTTTTCTTTGCATTTTTGCTGGGCATTCATTCAATCTCAATGTAGATGCAACATGTTTTCAAAACAGTATCTGTCTATGTACGTAAAAATAAGTTTACAAAAGAGATAAGCGACTTCAAATGTGGCTTCGACTTCAGCAAGAACACAGCATGATGTTCATCTAATAATTCTTTGTTCTGCCAAAAGATTGAGGAAAACTTTATACACTGAAAAAACTGAAGCATTGACTTTAATTACATGCTTTATGTCAACACATTTTACATCACTGTATGAGGTTAGTTGAAAGCAATAATATTAAGTTGAACCTATTAAAACTTAAGATTATTGCTTTCAAATAACCTAATACAGTGATGTGAAATCTGTTGACATAGATTTAATTAAAGTCAATGCTTCAGTGTTTTCAGTGTAGTTGCCTGTATAATGCTAATTGAAAATGTTCTTTCTAGCAAACTAAGTGCCTTAGAGTTGGAGCTTAGGCAGATACTTAATTAACAACATTTCCTCATAATGCTGAAAACATCTCTCCCAAAATACATTTAATCTTACAAAATAGTAAAATTAGTAGAAAGTAGAATATTTGTGTTAATCATGTGGACATGTTTTACTGTGCTTCCAAGGTGACCGTCCAAGCCACCTGTATAACACTGACAGCCATGAGCGGGGACCGCTGTTACGTCACAATCTACCCTCTGAAATCTCTGCGCCACCGCACCCCGAGAATAGCCATGATTGTCAGCATCTGCATTTGGATCGGTACGTTCTGCTCATTTAATGAAAAACTCTCTCCCACCATTTCCCCTAGGTACATTTAATCTTCCTGTTTTAATTAATTAACCACAGAGTAAATAAATAATTAGGACCAATTGTATATGAAGTAGGCACGGGAATTAGCATTTATGATGATTTCATCTACTTCAACTAACACATTCATCGTCCTTTCACAGGCTCTTTCATTCTGTCAACCCCAATTTTAATGTACCAGCGTATAGAGGAGGGTTACTGGTACGGGCCGAGGCAGTACTGCATGGAGAGGTTCCCCTCAAAGGCACACGAGAGGGCTTTCATCCTCTACCAGTTTATTGCTGCCTACCTGCTGCCTGTCCTCACCATTTCCTTCTGCTACACTCTGATGGTGAAGCGGGTGGGCCAGCCCACTGTGGAGCCAGCAGACAACAACTATCAGGTATGCACAGGGTTCGTTTTGCTAATTAAAAGTGTAAAAGCTCTTCTGTTCTATATACTAGGACTGTCTGTACCTTTATAATACTTCTTAACTTTCTTTAATTGTGTCTGCCTTTGAAAGTGTCTTTTAAAACACCTTCCTTTTAAGAATTGTTGAATAATAACAACGGATTTAATGACTTCTGTAAAAGGTGTCACTCATAACAAACCAAGATAAGTATAACCCAACTACGCAGTTACCCTTAGCTCTATGCAGCGTCAGTGTCTCTTAGTTATTTGATTTAGATTTAAAGCCTGAAACTTGATTTAGCTCCTGCTCCCCACTCTGATAGTGATTTCTGAAAAATCACTATCTGCTCCCTGCTCTGCACCAAATGAGAAGCAGACAAAGTTAATGACTAGCTGGCGAACATATTGGAACATTCAGCATGAGCCGGATATTTCACTCAGAGATTGGTAGAGACAAAAAGCAGAGATAAAAGTACTCTGTTTGGTATTTCACCTTAACTCTCCTAACAACATATTTAACATACACAGACTAGATCCCTATAGACCCCAATAACAAACCACTGTAAAAAAAACATCACCTAGCGTTAATGAAATCCTTTTCAAAACATTATCATGTTTAACATGAAGATAAAACATAATTTCTGTTTATGTAACTGTTTAAACGAAGGTTTGTAGTATTAACTTTAGGGTTAGTAAGATATTCAAAGGTACATTTAAGATGTTTCATAACATTGGATCATATGGATGCTACTAGCAAGTACAATGCAGGTAAGTGAGAGTTTAGCTAGGATACATAGAACATTCTTATTATTATTATCTCATTATAGTCACAATCCTGCTCAATAACATACACAAACCATAAAGATATTGTCAATTAACATATTTACTTACAAATCCTGTGTCAAACCATCCCTGCAAAGAAGGATGGCCACGGATTCAACACTAGTGATTCCCATTCTCTGCACACCATGAAAATATCCCTCTCTGAGCTACACTTCCTTTTTTATGACAACTTCCTGTCTAACAGGAACTTAAAGCTGCTATACCAAAACTTCCAGAGGATGTCGCTATTAAGCCTGAACTTAATACTATAATACTCATCTTGTCCTCCTCAGGTCAACCTCCTGTCTGAGAGAACTATCAGTATCAGGAGCAAAATCTCCAAGATGGTGGTAGTAATCGTCCTCCTCTTTGCCATTTGCTGGGGTCCCATCCAGATCTTCATCCTCTTCCAGTCTTTCTATCCCAACTTCCGGCCCACCTACGCCACATACAAGATCAAGACGTGGGCTAACTGCATGTCCTACGCCAACTCTTCGGTCAACCCCATCGTTTACGGTTTCATGGGAGCCACATTCCAAAAGTCCTTCAGGAAAACCTTCCCGTTTCTGTTCAAGCACAAGGTCAGAGATAGCAGCATGGCTTCCAGGACTGCCAACGCTGAGATCAAGTTTGTTGCTGCAGAGGAAGGCAACAATAACAATGCAACAAATTGAATCTAACAGTTAAAAAAAGCAAGAAGGAAATACATGTTTCTATAAAGAGCCAATACCGCAAGAAGACAATTACATTAAAATAAGTATTCAGAGAGGAACTGGATAGTGACAAAAGGAGAGACTCTGTTTGGCAGACATGTTTTCGTTTTGTTTACAACTCATCAACAAAATGATGTGGAAACTGACAGTGTTTGGCACAATGTTACCTGTTTGACTGCCAAGGCCAGGCAGTGCTATTGGCACATCATCCATTGAGCTGCCACACATCATAGCCAAACAACAGAGGACAGTCGTAAACCTCCCTGTAAGGCCATGGCTGCAGATTTGGTATAAACTATTCAGCATTTGGACAGTTGAAGATATGATGTATTCTATTATGAGAATATTGTATTTTGGAAAGGACATAAGACTGAATGTGCATTTTACATGGACAATGAATACACTCAAACAGATGCCAATGGACAATGTAATGTGTTTCTACCACTGGAGATAAAGGTGTCTGCCATTGTGGGAAAACATTTCTCAAAGGTGCAGTGGGACATTTGTACATAAAAGGTTTGTGAACACTCTCATGTCTGAATGTTAAATATGAAGCTAGAGCGGACGAGATTATCTTAGTTTAGCATATAGACTGGCCCTGTCCAAAGTGTAAAACACTTTTAAAATCTGACCAGGAGCTCTACAGCTCAGAAAGTAAAGAATATTTGATTTGTTATCAAAGGCTGTTGTTAATTTAAGAAATAGTTGCAGCTCAAAACGCCCCGTAAATAGAGAAAAAGCTTAGGAGGTGAATAACTACTATGAACCTTTTTTTGCATCTTTTATCTTCCTTATTTCTGGTCATTTATCTACTGTCTGTTATAAAAGCATAAACACAACCTACAAATGTAATCTTAAGATTTCTATACACAACATAAACAGTGTTAATTGGCTTATTTCTGAATTTGAGATAAAACGAATATAGCTACTGTAATACTCCTTAATTCCAGCCTGTATGCTAAACTACGGTATTTAGATTATATTGAAAATAATGTAAATATTAGATTTTGTTAAATCTCACTTGGCACTTAATAATACTGACATTCCATTTTTGAATGTAATTGATATGCTCTCCTCTTTTCATTTTCTTAAACGCAACATGAAAGCTCTCAAGCACAAATCCCAAAATGTTATACTATATTGCTTAAAAATCGGTCTATTAATGTTTCTTCATTTGTTATCTGTAGTTTTCATCTGAAATAATGTGGGACCAATTGTACCAATACCTCCTTTTTGTCTGTCTCAAGTAGAGGAGATTATGATGGAGATGGTAACACAAGCCGGCATCTGAATAGTGAGTAGGATGTTAGTTATATATATTCTATACAGTAACAGTAAGCTCAGGATAACAAGAGGTTAACATTTATTTTTGGTGGGAGTGTAAAGAAGAAAAGCCAGCATCAATTTCTCTGCTGCCATGATGTGATGAGTGGGAGCGGGCGGAGGCAGGGGTTACGACCAGTGAAGCATAGACAGTGTTTACCTTTCCTTTGTGTCCCACACACCAACATTCACACCTTTCTCAAAACATGTGCAGGCTGTAGACACCTGCACATACAAAGGCATGCACTTTCACCTGGTACAATGTGGGATCGGTTGCCACATCTTTGAGAAACAACCTTTTATGATCTTGTCAGGTTGAACTACATTCTAACAGGTTGAGGCCACACAAGACATGTTTTGAAAGACTAATTTGAAGGAAACCTTGTATTGAGAGGAGCTGTCTGGAGATGAAAACACAGCCTGTCATTAATAATACAAACCCTGCCAGCTCTTCACTATAGATGCAGTCCTTTTCTATCCATCCCACACAGTGACATTCAAAAGCAGCTTCATAGAAAACCTGCTATTGCAATTCTCATTTACATTTTAGATACTGTTGGACGTGCTGTCATCAGGGCTACATTTGAATTACATAAGAGTTTTTTGAATGTTTTTACATGCCACGATCAGCCATAAAACAAAACAAGAATGATTAAGTGAGAACGTGTTTTGGTACATTTTGCAAAAGGAAGCAGACAAACTCTTATCTATGACCACCTCTATGTAATCTGTTCAGAACTATATGTAACCCTGAATACAGTTTGCAGTCCAAAGTAGCTACCCAAAAAAAACCTTGACTATAATTTAATTTAAATTGGTTGGTCTACTTTAGCAGTTAGTCATAACCTCCATCTATAATAATAACCTTAATAAAAACAAAATGTCCTTTAGTTTCATCTGCGCATTTTGCAAAGCCATTTATTTTGTATCTGAGTACTTCTGTCAAACATGGCTGAACATGTTAAATGTAATGCAAATGGCCGCTTGCTGCTTTTTAATATATGCTACTTGTGCTGCATTTTTCCCATAGAGAGTACTGTGCATTCATTAAGACGGAGGTCATCTATAATATGTATGCTTTCTGCGTTTCATTAACAATTCTCATGTTTCTATTATTCTGACATTGTGATTCTTCTACATGTCTGTTATAGTTGTGTGGAAAAATATTCACCTGCCTCAACCTTGAACAAAAGTAACAACTAAGTAAACATTACATGTTTTGGCAAATTGTTGCATTCAAATCTGTTGTTGAACAGAAGGAATGAGGTAATGGAACAATTTAAACTGTAACTCATTGTGAGGGTGCTTTTGTTGATCCCTGCATAACCTCTATTATCTAAAGTCATGTTTTGCAGTTGTACTGTGAATCATCTGGAAAAGTGTGTTTCTTTCTCTATGGCCATTAAACAAAGAATGCTGCTTCCTGGTTGATTCTGAGAAAAGTATTACCGAAGTAATGATTCAACATCTTATGAAGACGTGCATTTTGGTAACAGTACTTAATACATTACACGAACAGGAGTAAGCACTTTTTTTTATTTTATTTGGATGTACTGTACAATACATGGAAAACTTACTTATTGGGAATTTCAGAATTATTTTGGCTAATGTCTGGTTAATATCCATCAAAAGTATTACTTAGTATTTCTTAGGTTAATTGTTTCCTTACATGCTTTACCAAAATAAAAGTAGTAGGTAGTCGTAGTTTGAAATGTCTTACAGACATTCATGTTCACCACATGATGTATCTGAGGATGAGCTAACTTTTAATAGTGTCACCAGCAGGTCAATGTTTTCAATTATCTAGTTAAGCAATCAACAACAAAAAAGTTATCGAGACATTCGTAGTTCCCAGATGATGTACCATACAGACTTTAGAGAACCTGACTTTTCCTCTAGTGCCACGACAAGATTGTGATGTTAGATTAGGAAATTCATGGTCCTCAGATAATTGAATGGTAACAAATTACATTCTCTGACATTTCCTCAAGAGGTAAACAAATCAATATGTCCGATACTTTTAATATGACCACAAAACCCTACACAAAAGTACATCCCCCTAGACACTATGTTCAGTGCTTCATTGCTAACAGCATAAACAAGTGAGTACACATCACAACAGGACAAGGAGAGACATCGGAAGAGATACGATTTAATCCAGTAAAAAAGTGGAGGGAAATATCTGCCAAATATGAGACAGATGAAATGGAAAAACAGTTTTCTGGAAGATGAAGTCCTCCAGACGTCAGTGCCGTGGCATTTTACCGTTCTATAGATAATAATAAAAGCTTTATCTTCAAATGTCAGGGATTTATTTAAATATCATGGTGAGAGACGTCAGTGAATTTTTGTATTATTTTGTGTTGAGTCATAAGTATCTTTGTGCAATAAAGCAGTCCTATGGTACCTATTGGAAAACTTAACAAAAGAACACTCCCCATTACTCATTTTCAGATGCTTGAAAAACAACAAAACAAAACAGACAATAATGCAACAACAACAACAACAACAACCATGACTCACCATTCCTCAACAGAAGATCTGCCCACGCTGTGCAACTATGTACTTGGTTGATGATGACATTAATAACAATTACTAGTCCTTGCTCCATTGTTTGTCATTGTTGTCCATTTACCAAGGGCGGAAAAAAACACATATACAGTGAAGGGACTTCTACCGTTCACGGCCAGTTTGAGCTGAATAAAGGCTCCATTGAACATCAAGAGGAATGTGGGAGGCTTGATTCACAAAATGGATGAGCCAGTGACGTAAAAGGCTGCAGGACACTCATGTGTTCTTTTTGTTCTCGGTGTATTATAGCATGCGTGATTTTCTATGAGACATCTCTTGTGTTATGTTGTTATGCATTTATCCTGTATAGATTCTATATGGACATTACAGCTTTTCTGAATTACATTTCAAACAAAAACTATGATGGAAAAAGTATTGTTGATAACTAGTTTCCAAAGTACAACATGCTGTCATGCTTTTTGACCTGAGAGCAGGAGCAGTGTTTAACAGAAAAGGTCCATTTCTCCCCAAATAGCTCAATTTACTCCTTGAAGCGGATCAGCTTACTCCCTAGATTGGCCAAGTTAAGCCACTAGACTTTTTTTTAAGTTAATTCATATTTTCATGGCCCTTTGTGATAGATGCATTATTATCATTCTGATTGACAGAAGACTTCCTGAAATAACGGTTGATGTTGTCATCTGACTTCAATCTAATTCTTCCTTGCTTATAGGACAACATAAATAAAAATTGGCTCATCTTACCCCACTCTCCCCTAATTAATAAAATAATGGTTTTATTTGGTTTTGGTTTTATCACCATCGGTAGCACAGTTTAGCTCAGACACTTATCTTCAACTCGCCCAACAGGATGCCGAAATTAACCCAAACCTTAATATTTCGATAATTATTACCAATATTTATTGCCCTATATTTTACTCTCGCAAAGCATTAAATTACAAATCAGATACCATCAACAAGTTAGACTAAAAGGATGCAATAGCCTCTCCACTATGCAAAACTCTGGGGCTTTTTCACTCTGGGGCTTTATACTTTCTATTAATACTTTATACTTTCTATTAATACTTTATACTTTCTATTTGTAATTTATAATTTCCATTTGTACAT